GTTTTATTTTTCTTGGTTTCCATCCATCGTCAGACTCAAACCCCGGTCCCCAACGATCCGCCTCCCAAGTCTAGCGCCATTCGCTGTGAGCTACTGCGCAAACCAGACACACCAGAAAAGCCATACGAAGGTAAGCAGTCAGCGGTAGCTCCCCGTAGCGTTTGTGTCACAAATAAAATGCAGCCATATGTAACTGTAAGCACATAATTCTCAATTCATAAAAATGTACACCAGAGCACATTTTCCCAATGAGACAAATATGTACCAGGATGGATTTTATAGACATTCTTGCAATTTCCGACTTAATGTATCTCAAAATTCTCTTTAAAAAAATGAAAAATCAAAATCAAAAAGTTACAAATTGTCGTGAGATTGCTGTGATACATACAAATGTGAAAAGTCAAAATCACAACGTCAAAATTGTGAATTCAAAGTGGTATTATGAGTGTTTAATAATCTATTTTATTGTAATTCCATGGGGAAAAATCTTTTATACATTTGTGTTTTTATAATGCTGGATACAAAAGGATAATCATGTACATCAGTCTGTTTCATTCTTGCGTATTTCCAACGCAATCTCACAGCAATTCGTAACTTTTTCATTTAGTGGCTAATTCGTATAAATTCGTACAATCTAATTCGTACAACTTTGTACGATTTGCTCATCACCCAATGACGGTTGGGGTTAGGGGGGTGGGGTTAGGTGCCACACATCCTTTTTAAAATTTTCGTACGACTGAACTTTGTACGAATTCGTACGAATTAGCCACTAAACTGACAAAACGTAAAATACTTACGTTTCCTTGTGAGATCAGGCTGGTATTTCTCCACATGTAAACTGTGTGATTTGTAATAGTTGGACTGGAGAAAGCTGAATATTAGAGGGTTTCAGATAACACTTCCCCTCTCATCTCTACCTGGCCTGTCTCTATAAATGTGTATATGGGGAATTGTGGACTAATCCAAAATGATCCTCGTGTAAACAGTGTTTAATAAGAGTCCAACAAAGCCAAGGATCAACTCAAGTATCAGCTCACACTGTCAGAAACCTCTTCTTTTTGAGAAAAACATTTTAATCTGTCAAAGAGTTGGTAGGCGACATTTTCAAATAAAAATTGGTTTAGAGGTCTGCATTTCATTTAGAAAAGACCAAATCAGAAATTTGTTTTCCAAAATGTCTATTGTTCCCTTTAATGATGTTCAAAGGATGGTTGTTGATGGCTTTGTATGTTGTGTTTATTCATTCATTCATTCATTTTCTTTTCGGCTTAGTTTCTTTATTAATCAGAGGTCGCCACAGCGGAATGAACCGCCAGCTTATCCAGCATATGTGTTACAGCTGCAACCCATCACTGGGAAACACCCATACACTCTTATTCACACACATAGACTACAGCCAATTTAGCTTATTTCACCTAAAGAGCCTGCCTTTGGACTTGGGGAAACCAGAGCACCCGGAGGAAACCCAACACTGGAAGAACATGCAAACTCAGAAATGCCAAGTGACCCAGTCGAGGCTCGAACCAGCGACCTTCTTGCTGTGAGGCGACAGCGCTACCCACTGCACCACCGCGCTGCCCCTACAAAGTTATGCACTTGCAATTAAAAAGATTTATAATAATATATATTTAATAATATATAATTTATAATACATACAATTACTTTTCTCTGGAATCAGGAAACCTTTATGGAAATCAGTCATTTTTTTCGACACGAAGAATGACTTGCTTCTGCACTATTTCAACAAAGCAAAAAATAGTACAAGACAACTGGGTATTATATTTGGGACATGGGGTTATTTTAGGGAATTATCGCATTATGTTTGACCACATGTGTAAGTGTTTGGAAATGTACAATTTACAGACTGGACCAGGTGCTCGGGCATTAAGAGTGCCCTAAAAATACTCTGAGAAGCTTGTAAGGAGGAGAAGGGCAGACTGAAGGATAACAGAGAGAGTCCGCGCATGCACTCGCTTACACCAAGAAACAAACAAAGCCCCTCTTGCATCTGTCATGGGAGGCATAAAGGCTGCTGATGACATTGTAAGCCCATGCAGAGGTTTTGTTCACGTGTATTATTGTTGAAATAAAGACATGCTTGGGTTCTGATAAGACTCAGATCAGATAGAGATATTTTATCATTTAGACTCCTAATCCAGCAGTTTTATGTGAGTGTGATTGATGTTTTATGGTAATTTATTACAATTAAAATATTACAGTAAAATACAATGACCTTGAAATGCCCCCTTAGTTCATCAGGGTCACACAATCCACTGATGTATATTAATCTTTTATAAAAAATATTATAATAACTTATTTTAATGGTGATAATATTGTTATTAAATTATAATAATAATAATAATTATTACTATTAATTTAATAAATTTTTCACTATTCTCAGAAAAAATATTTTCATTTCAGAAATTGACAAATATACACGTGTCTATGGGTATATTTGAAGATTTTTTTTTTGTTCTGTAATATCTGATATAATCATATTTAATCTGATTATATGTGAAAGTTTGAAAATACATATATATATTCATTCCTTTTCTTGTCGGCTTAGTCCCTTTATTAATCTGGGGTCGCCACAGCGGAATGAACCGCCAACTTATCCAGCAAGTTTTTTTTACGCAGCGGATGCCCTTCCAGCCGCAACCCATCTCTGGGAAACATCCACACATACACACACACATTCATACACTACGGACAATTTAACATACTCAATTCACCTGTACCACATGTCTTTGGACTGTTGGGGAAACCGGAGCACCTGGAGGAATCCCACGAGAACGCAGGGAGAACATGCAAACTCCACACAGAAACGCCAACTGAGCTGAGGATCGAACCAGCGACCCAGCAACCTTCATGCTGTGAGGCGAACGTGCTACCCACTGCGCCACTGCGTCGCCCTATATATATATATATATATATATATATATATATATATATATATATATATATATATATATATATATATATATATATATATATATATATATATATATATATATATATATATATATATATATATATATATATATATATATATATATATATATATATATATATATATATATATATATATATATATATATATATATATATATATATATATATATATATATATATATATATATATATATATATATATATATATATATATATATATATATATATATATATATATATATATATATATATATATATATATATATATATATATATATATATATATATATATATATATATATATATATATATATATATATATATATATATATATATATATATATATATATATATATATATATATATATATATATATATATATATATATATATATATATATATATATATATATATATATATATATATATATATATATATATATATATATAT